TCTGTTCAATTAGAAAGGCAAGTTACCATATATCTACATGGTACTCTACACAGTGTTCCCTCACTTTTCCTCGGTGATACTAGCCCTTCCCGCAATAGGTACATTTCCGCAATAGGTTTTCCTCTCCTAGGCCATTATGAACACCCACTCGACGCAACTGTATTTATAGAGCACTCTAAAACAAAATTTTCTCTAAAAAAATAAATAAATAAAATCTACATTTCTTGACTGGTCTGACTTAGAAGAAAAATAGCAAGAAAGCATGCAAAATTCACGAGTAGAACTGCAATAGATGAAGATATAGTCACAAATGAAAATATGTGATAGTGAATCTGCAATAACCACACTGCAAAGTTGTGGGGGAATTCTGTACTCTAAAAATATATATATTTTTTTCTGAACAGATTTCAAGTAGCTCAGATCCCTGAATACAAACCAGTCATAGAGGAAACAAAGGGACCATCCCAGGACCAACGTAAATCCATTTTTGGTGGGATTCAGTTTTCTTCCCCTTCATTAGCAGGCTTCATGAGGTATGACAGCAGATTGTCACCTTGATCCCCTTGTCTGTCCTTTGTGTACTCAACCAGTGTTTATAAAATGAGTGTCTGAAAAAAATGTTAACAAAGAATACAGCTGATCAATATTACGCACGTGAACGTTTCATCAAGGCCCATACTTGGAAAAGTAAGATTTAAAAAATAACCTCAAACTCTCATAATGACCCTGTTTCAGGTGACTCGTGAAGCTGTATGATTATACTACCTCTGACAAGGACAACCCCTACGGCAGGCCTGCAGTGTGACACCAACATCAAACCACTGGGCCCAACCACGCTGTACGAGGTTGTTCATGCCGAACAAAATGAAACCTAAAAGAATGAACAGCATGCAGTTAATCCAAAGATAAAGTGTGGATGAGCACTGAGTTGGAGCAGAGAGGTTTATACTATAGTATTGGATTAGCAGCTGTCATTGCTCGGCACTTTAGGGCAGGTGAGAGGAAGAATACACCCCAGTGTTTGAACATTCACAACAAAAGACACATGCTCAGGTAAACTTGCTCTCATGCTTACGCAATAGGCTGTCTTTCTTTCCAGTGTAAAGGACAAACCCGACAGTCAAAAGAAAACATCCAATCCAAGGTGGGTGTATAGAGTGAGGTAAACATTCAACCAGGTAGAGTATAACGTGATCCAAAAGTATGAATGAGGTTTTTATCACAATGATCATATGACAGGTTCAAACTACATGTATATTACAATAGCAGTAAGGAAAGAAAGAAAAAGAAAATAAAATGTTCTATTCAAGTGCAGTAATATAGCTTCTGTTGCTTCCATGGTATCTGGCTGTTTAGATATTAATAGAAAGTACGTATTTCATAATAGGCTAATTTGTTTTATTGGGGCATTAAGCAGAAGTGAAGAGAATGTAAAAGTAGTCACATTAGTCAGTTGTAAATAATTGTACATGTGACGATATAGCTTGGAAGACAGCAAAAGTATTTTTCCTCATTTCATACGTCTTACAATTGCTCATGCAATCAAATGTCAATGGTCGTGTCAAATCAAGACAAAAAAAAACTGC